TATATTTTCAAAACTGTTCTTTTTATTGTTGCTGTTGTTATTCAGTCGCTCAGTTGTTTCTGACTCTTTGCAACCCCATGGACTGTAGCACGCCAGGCTCCTCTGTCCTTCACTATATCCAGGAGTTTGCTCAAACTCATATCCATTGAGTCGGTGATGCCATCCAACCATCTCATCCCCTGTCAACCCCTTCTCCTCCTGCCCTCAATCTTTCCCAGCATCGGGATCTTTCCCAATGAGTCAGCTCTTCCCATCAAGTGACTCTTCACATCAGGTGGCTCTTCGCATCAGCTCCAAAGTACTGGAGCTTCAGCATCAATCCTTTCAGTGAATATTCAGGGTTGATCTCCTTGCAGTCCAAGGGACTCTCAAGAGTCTTCTCCAGCACCGCAGTTCAAAAGCATCAATTCTTCCATGCCATAACTCAAAAGTTTAACGGAAGAAACAAATGATACTTTAGGTGCTTTCCAACTCTTCCCCTCTCAGGCCTCCAGATGCCTAAACAAGGTTGGTCCCATTTTGAAAGACTGTATCTTTGAAAGAATGTAACTGATGTTCATGAGCAGGCTTCTCAGTTCAAGATATAAATGCACAACAGCAAGCTGGCACTTCAGTTCACACTACCTAGCCACATGCTAATGGACTGAGATTTTAAGCAGATGTTTGTCAGTGTTTCCCTTGAGAACAATGGCAAAGTATTGATCTAATCTCTCAAATTCTTTCCTGTGATAATATTAAAACATCTGCCCTCATGCTTTCCCCACCTTTCCTGAAGACTATCTAAACCATTCTGACTTAAGTCATCACATACTTTTAAGTATGGTACATCTTATTAGATAAATAATAGGACTAAAATGTGTAAATAAATCTTTAAATATGGACAAATGAAGACATGATATCATTCGAACTCACAAAGTTCTCCCAGCTCTTCACTTTGAACTGGGGAAGAGATGAGCAACATTTTATTTTTGGTAGTGTGTTATCATTCTTTTAGCAGTGTTAATCAATGGGACATTCACTGTCTAGGCAGATGTTTGCTATTACTTTACACAGTAGGAAAATATAAGTAAATTAACCTAGGTTATTTCCTCAGGATTAATATCATCAATATTTCCTTCTTTCACATCTTCCAAAACAAGATTTTCAGGGGGCAGTGAGAGGTGTGAAGGGGAAGTGTTAGTACTTGAATGCTAGAAGAAAAATATTCACAGCACATAATATCCTGAGAAGTGGTCTTATCAAATGAGGCCATTATATTTAGAGAGCTGTGTTTTCACCTACATCTATTGAACTAACCTAAAGAGCAATATGTGGGGGTTAGTAATATAGATTGAAACCAGGTTCCTGGGCTTCAGCTCTTTTGGGGGTAAGTCATTAAATTCCTCTAGCTATAACATACAGATTCTGTTAATATATTTTATTCAGCTCATCTTTATCTGTAATATCAATAGATACTTTTTGAACACCTACTATGTACAATGTATATGGCTTATAAAATCACTATGTTGGTTGCATTCTCTACTGATAATTTTGTAATAACTACTTCATACTCAATTTCATATGCATACAGATAATTAAAATAGAACATGAAGGCATCCACAGGCCAAGTAATATGTTGGTCCAAGCAACATATTCTGCTTATAAATTATCGTGTAAAATATTTTCGGTAGAAAAAGTGCTTCTTTCACAGCAATTGGATTTAGATTTATGAATGTTGCCAATGCAGCTAGTCTGTGGTATATTTTATGGAAATGAACTTTTAAAACATTATTGAAGTTTCCATAGTCAGAAATTGGGATTCTCTTATGGCTGGTTAACTTGTAGGTAGTCACATTTGATCATATTCTGCTACCAACAGTTGTAGGTATTATGTAGATAAAACTAATCTTTCAATTATAAGATAGGTATAAAACTATGCAGTTATTAATGGTTCTCAGTATGATCTTTCCTTTTGAGTATACTCTAACATGCAAATACCTTTTCTGAAAAATAAATGTCACTGCTGCTCTCAGATCTGTTGAATTTCAGAATTATATTTTACTCATTGAACTTGTGACCTTGACTTTCATAGAGATCCTCTGGGTTCATGTCTTATCAGGGGGAAAAAAAAGAAAAACATATTGCTAAGAGGCCCTGTAGTTAAAAGTCCTTCAATATGCAAATATAGATGATATTTATTTTAATCTCCTTGATTCAAAAGAGCATCTAATTCAAAATCTGCTTTAAAATAGAATCTAAGTAGACACAAGTAATATCAATTTATTTATATGACGTCTCCTGAAATTTCATATTTGAAGCATTTACACCAAGAAAGTTAATTTCACTTAATTACTAGCCTGCTTTTTTCATTCAGTAGCAAATGGAATTATCTTGTGACTCAGTTTCTCTGTAAAACCAAGTAATGCCTGTGGTCTCTAATTAATCCTGTAGTTAGCATTTTTTACATGCCTAGTACTAAATTAAAAATCAAAACTCCTTAGTAAATGACTGTACAATTATAACTACGATAAATGATAGAGAATGTTAACAATCCCAAATAGAATTTGTTTTCAACCTCGGAGGGATCCTTCTTGATGACTTAGGTGTTTAAAATGTGCTCTTTCTTATCAGTGAGTGTTATTTGGGAAATGCACAATCATTCTAGTATTAATTAGTAGTATTAATGTAAGAGAAATATAACTCTAAAATTGGAGAGTGAGAGAGTGTAAAGAGACAGCAAGTGGTGGAAAGATGGCTTATATAAGAAAATGAGTACCTTTTCTGTTGTGATATGAAGATAGAAGAAAAATATGGAAGTTCATACAAATACAGTCATAGCAAATTAAAACAGTTCATATTCATTCCTATTTCTTCTGAAAAAGAACAGATCTTAAAAGTTTGAAGACAGGAGAGAAGCTTTGGTAAATCTGTCATGTGGAATGGGAGTGAGAAGAAAACTCAGAAAAATCACCAAGCAGTGTGTGGCATTAGCACTGCCTTAGTCTCCGCTTGGTTTCCATTATTAAGTACAGAGTAGGAACATAGTTGGACCAATTTAGATCTGAAGTTTTGCCAGACTGGGCATGGCAGAGGAGTGATGGGGCCAGATGGTCAACCATACAGGAGAGTAGTTGAAGTGTGTGTGTGTGTGTGTGAGTTGCGTCTGATTCCTTGCGACCCTATGGACTATAGCATCTGAGCCACTTAGGGAAGTAATGAAAGCTAAGCTGGTTAGGGGAAGAGCAGTGTTTTCATGAGTAAAGGCATAAATATTACTGAAGAAGATGAAGTAGTCTATGTGGAAAGATTTCAAGATATAGGAGAGGGAAGGGCAGGAGGAAAACAAGGAGGTTGTTCTGAGACTAAGTTACACATTAGAATTATCTGGGGATCTTTGAAAACTACCACTGCCTAGGTCCCATCCTCTGAGATTCGGTTGAATTAGTCCATAGTATAACCTGGCCAATGGGAACATATTTTGCGGCCAAAGTTGAAAATCTTTGTTTAGAGCCACTTATGAAGAATCTTATAGTTTTTGTAAAGTGGTTGTCACTTTATTTTCAAGACAATAGAGAATCAGCAAAGGTTATAAAAGGACTAGTGTAAATTATTATGTATTTTAGAAAAGTAACTTTTTCCTCAGAGTGACTGACTAATACCAAAGAGAATAATTTGGAGAAAAGGAGACTTGTGGAGAGAATATTTCAGTATTCTGGGCCAGAAAGAGTTGAACCAGGGATGAACCAGAAGAATTATAGAGTAGGGGACATTGTTGTGATGCTTCAACATAAGAACTAGTTAGTATATGTGTAAAATGATGGAGCCTGGTCTAAGGTAACTGAAATATTTTTTATTTTGGATAATCTGTTAGCTTTCAATTGCTGCATAACAAATTAACATAGACATAGCCCTCCAAAACATGTATTATCTCACAGTTTCCATGAGTCGGAGTACAGCCATGGCCTCTCTGAATTCTTTGCTGAAGAGTCTCACCAGGCTGTAATCAAGTTGTGAGTTGAAATGTAAGGCTCTGCAGAGGTGTGATTGAGGGAAACTCCTCTTCCAAGCTCCCTTGGAATTGTTGGCAGAATCATCTTCATGTATTATAACCCGCAGAGCTGAGACCCCTGTTTTCTTGCTTGCTGAGAGCCAGGGGCTGTCCCCAGGCCCTAGCAGCTGCCTGTGGTCCCCTGCCCTGTGGCCACCTGTAGGCATTTTATAGCACAGCTATTTGCTTCTTTAAGACCAGTGGAGAATTTTGTTCTACATACACACACACACACACACACACACACACACACAGAAGGCCCACTCTTTTAAAGATTTTCACCTGATTAATTCAGGACCCCTCAGAAAATCTTCCTTTGGATTAATTCAAAATTTGGCATACTCGTAATATCTGTGCACTCCCTTCCCTTTTGCACACACCATAATCTAATCACAGGTCTTGCCCAAATTCAAAGGAAAGAGATTATACAGGTATATACACCTGTATATACAGCATGGGCTTCCCTGGTGGCTCAGATGGTAAAGATTTTTTTTTTTTTTCAGTAGTATCCTGCCCTTCCTAATCCGTGGTTCAGTCTTTGCCCTCCTCCTACCTTCAAGTCACACCACACAGCGTGAGAATCAAGATCTTTCTTTGTGAGATCTTTGCAGACCAAAGGCGCTGAGATTGACTGTATTATGCTCTCTGTTCCCAGAAGAGGAAATGTAGATCCAGTGCATGGGGAGGTAGTACCATCATTAACCCTGAGCTGCTCCATTTCTTCTTATCAGAAAGCAAGACTTTGCACTTTTCCCTTCTTCCTTCCTCAATCCCAGATTTGCCTATGAAGTAAGCAGATGGCACAAATTTGGAATGGAGAAGTAGTCATATGTATCTCTCTTGGAAACCTTTTGTTTATTGAAACCCCTGAAGCAATATTGTTAAGCAATCTGATCTCTAATAATGGAAACAAAGCAAATTTGATCAGTACATTTTGATCAGACTTTCTTCACTTCTTTTAAATATTTTCCAGGCTATATTCAAGAAGAATGTGTCATTCCTTGCCCGTTTGATTGCAAGTTAAGCGACTGGTCAAGTTGGGGGTCTTGCAGTTCATCTTGTGGGATTGGAGTGAGAATTCGATCGAAATGGCTGAAAGAAAAACCATACAATGGAGGTCGCCCATGTCCCAAATTGGATCTCAAGAATCAGGTAAAGTACATGAAGCAAATACAGAGCTGAAAAAGTATCTCCTTTATTATTTCCTGTTGAAATTGAAGTCATTATCTTGTTATAAGTAGCTAATAGAAAGTTATTAGAAGTTCAGAAGAGTGGATAAGAGCATAGAAATTAATATAATAGAATTAGTAATAGAAGCTTTGCCCACTCCTAGGCAATGCCGAGAACAACTTGGTAATATTAGCTATAATGATGTTTACAAAAATGAAATCCAGTTGGTTTTTAAATTATCTTGAAATGCTATTTGATTAATCATATTATAAAAGGTTTGTGTGTATGTGTATGCAATAATATTGGGAGAATGTCAATTACTTTATGGCTATAGATACAATGAGCGGTCTCATCTCCATACTCCAAAACTGGTGTTCTGTTTTTCCTTTACCTAACTCTTCATCCTAATTTTCTTTGTTCCTAATCTTGTCGGTGTTTTCACAGCTCTTTCTGTCTCTTCTGAGCTGTTTTTCTACCTTTTCCCCCTAAATCAAAGCTGTTTCCCTAAATGGAACCTAAGGCATACACTGTCATGTAGATATCAAATAAAATTGCCATCTTAAGCAAAGTTGATTAGAATATTTCATTTTAGCTTTGAAATAACATATAACAGAAACTAAGATTTAATTAAGAATTATGATAGAGAACTCAAATTTCTCCCATGATTGCATACTGTTATTATACATGGACTGATATATACATTTTAATTAATTGAGTAGGTGAAGTATAAGATGACAGTTGTTAATAAGTTCTTTATTCTTAAGTGAAGTGTGCCTTAAACATGGGTCTGCAGATACTCTAAGACTGAAACTTTTAGCAGAATAGCTACACAGGCTTCTATTACTAAGTCTATTTGTTTCTTCCCTCTAATCCCCATTTTGATCAGACTTTCTATAGAGATTGTTTAATGGAAGGGAAATCCAATGTCTAGTTGATTAATATAAATAACATATCTAGTACTACTTCTATTTAGATATCATTTGTCATTTCAAGAATGACATCTCTAACTGTTTTTGTAAGTTTTTATGAAAGATATATAACTTGCTAAAAATGAAAAATTATTATTATAATGGCAAAAAATATTTGTGTTCTAAGACAGGGCAAAGTATTAGGCTAGTCTTGTTTTTTTAAAGTTATGTGGAGTAAAATAATGATCCTGGTTTCTTCCCTCAAAGCAAATATAAAGCATATTGGGGAAAAAACAATTCAGAGGATTGCAAAATCCACACAAATTTTGTCCAAAAAAAGAAAAACAAAACTTCCCAAGTACAACAGTTTGGGGAAGGGAAGGGAAGGGTGGGATATGATTAATGAAAACAGGAGGGAAACAACCCAAGTAAGGGGAGTTTGAGGAGAGAATCATCCTCAGTATGAAGAAAGGTATGACCCAGGTTGATGATCAGAAAGAGGACTTTGAAATTAATCCTCTGTCTGAAGACTAGTTTACCCTCCCAGGGGATTTTCCAGGCATTTAAAGAAGGAAATAACTGCGAAGCATTTGTAATTATAAATAATGTGTGATAATTCTTTTGTCTCCTCAAAACCATAAAAGAAACTGAAGCCTTTATAAAACTAGTGGTAAACACTAGTTTTAATATGCTACTTTTATGAACTAGAAAATTATCCAGGGAGTAAAAAGACTTCATTTGAGCACAGATCCCAAAACTATATTCTCACTGTATGTATGCAAATGTATCAAAACTGTCTATCAAATTTGAAGGTATGGATAAGATAAAGTACTTGTATGCCTGTTAGGACTTAAAGGTAACTTGTTCTAAACACTTAACTGATGTTTAAAACTTGTACATTTAAGTAGTACACACTAAAAATTAATCCCATGTTCAAAAATAATTTAGATAAATTCCATATGTGAAAACTAAGCAAAGATGGCTTTGTCCGCAGGAGCTATTTCTAGCTTTTGCACTTTGGAAGGAAATGGGTAGCATTCCAAAGACATTGGTTTTGATGCTCAGAAGTGAATCCTGAAATTTAGTTATCAGAAATCAAATTTAATATGACATGTATTCTGATGCAAAGAGGTTTTAGGTATCTATAATATATGTGGTTTAAACTTGAAAAACTTCACCCTAATCCATACTTGATATTTTAACATAATTGATCAAAATAGTAAATAATAAGCCCTCTCTGTCAGTTGTAAGTCTATGAATGGCAAGGAAAAATGCCACTGTAAAAAATACTAAACTTAAAGGGAATTGTCACTAGAGGCCTTTCTTTTCTAAAGCATACTTTTACTTAAAATTGTATTTGTGGAAAGTTGTCTGTGGATTTCATTATATTTTTGCTCTTATGTATTGCAGACCCCCCTTTGTGTGTGTATGTGTGTTATTTGTTGACATTTCTTGAAGTTATCCATGTTTTCTTAATTCATCTGAAAATAAATTGTCAGGAATTTTCGTTATTTAAGAAATATTCCCCAGCTTCTATTATTTATGGCAGTTCTTCTATAGAAGAGCTCGCTATTCCTCTAAGCTAGAAATATGATCTAGTAGAGGTACACCCACTGAGGCTGTTTTGTAAAGTTCAATTTTACTACTGGCCTTAGGTCATTGGTCTTCTTTCCAATTGGTTTTTAGGTCTCAATTTATTGTCCTATTTTTGGAACCAGAGTAATACTCTCTCATGTATTCACCCATAAGAAAGAGCTTAAAAAATATAACCAAATTATAGCAGTGAGAAAAGTTCATATCTTCGGTACCTGTGCATAAAGAAGATTCAGTATATGACAGATTGAGCCTAACATATAATTTGTAAAAAGATTGAACTTTCTTATGTGTGTGTATTATATATACTTATTATACACACATATATGTGTACATACACATATATGTATGTTATGTGCAAGCTGTGTAAATGTTAGTATTCCTGCATGTATTTAGTCACTTTCCTCCTTTGTTTCGTTTTAGAACATGGGGTCTTCCTGAGGGCAAGGGCTGCCTTTCTGCTTTTGTAGCTCATTCTAGCCCCTGGTACACCATCCAGTGAATTGTCAAATTATATTCATTGGATGCTTTATTTGAAAAGAAGCTTTCTCTCTGGATGAGTGGGTGGCTAGCTCTATAGATAGAATAAAATATATATTAGAACTCTGGTCTCTTAAGCTGTGATTTGCCATTCGAATTCTCAAAAAAACTTGAGATCTTCAGGAAGAAATAAGAACTCCAAATTGTCCTTAAGAGTCATTCACGATTTGCCTGAAAAATCCTGTGTTTGTATCTCCATTGAAATTTAACTCAGTGATATAAATGAAAGAGTTGATATTATGTACACAAACTCATAAACTGCTCTGAGTCAGTTTGTGAAATCGATATTTATAATCTCTCATAAAAGGCCTCCCTTTTAGACTAAAACTTATCAACATGATAGCTCTTTCTCCAGAAGCACCAAAGTGACAGCTATGCTTTGATGGTTTTCTGCTAAGTGTATTTGTGATGCTAAGTAGCTCCAGCGTGCAGCTTACCCAAAGCTTTCATTTAGCTAGAAAACTTCTAAATAGTTTATTGAATTATCAAGTCAGTTGCCTGATGTCCTTGACTCTACTGTGCAAAATCAAATAGATAATATATTTTAATTTTTTACAATCTATAATGTAGTGAATGGATTTAAGTGCACTTGTACTATATCTTTTTGCTGTATTTTTTCTTTTGTAATTCTGCTTAATAGAAGATTAAATTTGAGAGCATTAAAGTTCCACTGGGTTGACATTTCCTTTTATGAATTCTTTACACAATTGAAAGCAAGGGAGGGGCAGGAAATTCATGTTGTTTATATGTTGCAAATCTATGTGTTCAATGCACATGAGCAGAAATCTTACATTGGGATTCATTACCTATACTTTTTAAAAAATCTACCCTATCTAGTTAAACACATTTTTGAAAGAGTTTTGATTATGTTTGCATCTGAATGAGAGGATATAAATTAAATGAATGTTTTCTAGAAACAATTTCTATTTTAAAGGTGTGTCTTTACCCCAAAGAGAAGTGGCCGAAATTTGTAAATGATGAGTATAATTCATTTTATTTTTCATAGCTAGGTAATACTGTTTTAAAGAATACTTTCTTTCCAAAGATAAACAGTTGTATTTTAGCAAGAGAATTTCTCCCTTAGAAGGCAACTTCAGATGAGAAAAGTTTTCCATAGAGAAGTAGTTTATGCTCATTTTAATATTGCCTCATTAATTATTAGTAACATGTTGGGATGTGGAAAGAGGATAATTGTCATTCAATCTGAATGTTTGTTTACCCAGAAAAATATGGCTACATTTAACACTTAGTTTGATTTAGCTGATGTTGGCCTCTTGGTTCCTTTGGACCTGCCCAACTTCCACTCATCCTAACCTAGTCCAAATCATTGGCAAAAGTTCTGCTCACTCTGGAACTGGCAGGAGCCCCAGACTGTAGTGGAGCAAGAAGTCATCTTCTTGAGCATTAATATGGAAGGTCCACAGTTGTCCATGATCAAGTACATTCAGGCGTACTGTTCTTGCCTAGGGAGGTAGGTGTTGGTGATTGATTGCACCTTTGATGAGAACTTGTTTTAATTATGAAATATCATAGGTCACAAAAGTAAGAGATGCAGCATGATTTATTCCTTAGGGTTACTTGGGAGGATTTAATAAAGACAGATACTACTAAAACATTTCACCTCTCCCTGACATAGTAATTATTATAGCAAAGCCCAAGTACGTGTCACCCTATCTCACAGGCAGAGTGAAATGATTCCTGAAGGCTGGTGTTCATCCGCTCATATCCTTTTTGGCTGTCTGCCAACCCAAATGCTGTGCTTTCTACTCTTGACAAACCACTAACTAAGCTGAGTAGGGCTTGCAGGAGAGGCAATCTTTTGTTTTTATTCTTGCCCTGTGGTCATTTCCAAGCAAAAAAAAGAAAAAAATCATTTTTTTCCTTCTTAAGAGCTTCCTCTCCCCCCTACACTTGTATCTACATATACCCTACTGTTGATCA